AAAAAAAAAAAAAAAAAAAAAAAAAAAAAAAAACATGCTACACAGAACACCAGAGTTGCAAAGTTTCAGCAGAGATTCTGTGGCCTGTAAACTAAAAAGCTTTACTGTTGCGTCCTTTAGGTGCGCTGGGGAAACTGAAACAGGAGGATCGCTACAAGTCTAAACTATGTAGTGAGGGCTGGTGAGATGGCCCCCCCAGGTGAGACACAAGCTCCCCACCGAGCTATGCTACTCTGGCCTGATGCCTCTCCCAGATCCTTACACAATTACCGCGTTTTCTTGTCTAACTGCGTGGGCCATCACACCTACCACACAGCTGCACCAGCTGCCCAACTGGCGGGAATGAGGCCGCCATGAAGTGGTCTGCCCAGTGCCAGACGCACAGCCAGTCCCTTAGAAGAGTGGCTCACAGCGATGAACCTTCAGGCATGGAATTCAGAGGATTCACGCAGCCCTTTAGCCCTTGCCAACTGCACAGATCTTCAGAGCAGCCAATTTTGAAAGTCGCCTAAAGCATTGCTTCCTAGTGGCTGTGCTTCTGCACATGGACACCTGGCTCCACTTAGACAGTCAGGGTGTTACGGTTCCCACCAGGGATTCTGCAAGGCACCTACAGCTTCCCAGAAAAGGCCTGCCAGGCCCAGTAGTTAATAGCAATGCGGTGTTGAGACACTATCTGAAAACAGTATGATCAGGGTCCAGGGATATAGCTCCTTGGCACAGTGCCTGCCTGGCAAGCTGGAAATTGTGAGTTCAACTCCTGCTACTAAAACAACAACATGGGGCTGTCGAGGTAGCTCATGGTTTAAAGCGCCTGCTTAAGCAAGCTTAGGCAAGTGGGGGGACCACATGCCGCTCCAGCCCTGCCCCCAGGGTGGGCTGAGCCTGCCACCAAAATAAAAAGACAAAAAACAATGTATTCTACGTGGAAGGAAGGAGGCCTACAGTGGGGCAGGAAAGTCTGTTCCTTTCCTTTCTGCACACACATGCACTCATGCGCATTTTAAATTTTATTTTGAGACAGAGTCTTGCAAATCACCCAGGCTGTCCTTGAACTTTCCATTCTCCTGCCTCAGCCTCCAAAGAAGGCCACCACACTTGGCTTATTTTATGAGTAACTAGAAGACAGTCCTTATGAATAACCAGAAGAGCATGAGATGCCAATGGAAACATTAGTGAGCCTGGCTCTAGCAGCATGAGATGGGTGTGTGGCATATTATCACGCTGGATCCATCAGCGTGCACACAATGGCCTGTGAGCAGAGCGCTGAAAACATTTCCATGGACGTGGGAATGCTAACTACTGCTCTGCTTAATGACTGCAGGCTGTAGATATGCCCTGAATGATCAGAGTACCCTATGAATGTATACCACTCACAAAGCAATCATGCATAATTTTTTTTTTTTTCAGTACTGGGGATTGAACTCAGGACTTTGTACTTGCCAGACAAGCACTTATTTTACTGAGCTATCTGCCCAACCCAGGAATAAATTTTTACAAATCTACAATAGGGGTGGTTGAAATAGCTCAGCAAACTAAAGTGCCTGCTTATCAAGCTTAGACAAGTGCAGGGACAGCTGCTGATTCCCAGCACCACATGCTGCACCAGCCCTGCCCCCAGGGTGGGCTGAGCCAGTCAAAGTCCTGGGGTGGTGGCATAAGCCTGTAATCCCAGTGCTGGGAGGCTGAAAGCAGGAGGATCACCATGAGTCGGAGCTGCGTAGTGAGACCCTGTGACAACCAAATTTACTTAAAAAAGCAAGCAAGCAAGCAAGCAAGCAAATAAGAAAGATCTACAATAGCAATCCTGGAAGAAATCTGTGTTTTCTTACAGATGTTAATTTTAAAAGTTTTCCTCCCCTTTTCTTTTCCTCTCTTTTTTTTTTTTTTTTTTTGGTGGAACCGGGGATTGAACTCTGGCCCTTGTGCTTGCCAGGGAACCGCTTATTCCACTGAGCCATCTCCCTGGCCCCTTCTTCCTCTTTTCTGCTGCAGTGTTGGGGATGTAAAGCAGGGGTCCCTGTGTCCTGGGCAAGTGCCTGGCACTGTGCCAGCCACACTGCCTAGCCCAGTGGCCTGCCTCCTCTTCCTCCTTCTCCTCCTTTTTTTTTTTTTTTTTTTTATGAGCAGAATATATTTATTGAGAGAAAGAAAGCTCCTGTTCAAGAGAGGGACAGGAGGGGGGCCCGTGCTGGTAGTTCCCCCTCCTCTTTCTTTTAACATAAAAAAAGATCCTGTGTTCAATCCCCAGTGTCACAAAAATAAATGAATAAATAAATAAACCTTTTATTTGGTACAGGGTCTCATTACGCAGCTCCGACTCATGATCCTCCTGTCTCAGCTTCACAACTGCTGGGAATGAACACCACTATGCTTCATTTTATTTTCTGAGACAGAGTCTTGCTATGTAGTCCAGAGGACCCCACTGATCTAGGTAGCCCAGGCTGCCCTCAAATTCATTACCTGCCTACCTCAGCCTTGCGAAGGCTGAGACTACAGGCACACACACCATTCCAGCACTGTCAAGGAGGGCGCAGCCTTTGGGGCTGGTCTAGCGCTGCACCCCAGACCAGGAGCACTTACCCGTAGGAGTGCCCGATGAGCACGTTGCGTTTCTTGGCGTAGCGCTTGAAGATGGCCCGCATGTCCTCCGCCAGAGCGTAGAAGGTATAGGCGGCGGCCACCTGAGGCGCTGAGCTGGCCCCGTGGCCGGCCAGGTCTGGCGCTACCACCTCATAGCCCAGGCGCACAAAAAAGTCCAGCTGCTCCTTCCAGATGGCCAGCGAGCCGCCAACACCGTGGATGAAGAAGAGCACCACGTCGGCCTGGGCGCCCTTGCAGCTGGTGATGTGCTTCTCGCAGTCAATGTGAATGGTCCTCTTGGGGCGCCGCGTGCGGCGCCGCCGCCCGCTCCCCACGCCTCCAGCGTGTGCACGGCCCTCGGCCCCCGAGGGCTCGGCCAGCTCCACCTCGAGCGCGGCCGGGGGCTCACAGCCGCCCTGCCCGTGCCCAAGGTCGGCGCGCGGCGCGCGGCCCAGGTTCTCCACCAGTAGCCGCCCGTTGCGGTACACGGTGATCCGGCGCTGGCATCGCACCAGGCCTGCCCGGCCGCCCTGCGCAGTGTCCGGGGGCGGAGGGCGCGAGGGCGCCGGTGCGGGGCCCGCGTGTTTCACCCGCAGCACGCGGCCCGGCTTGACCTCCACGAAGGTGTAGCCGTCGCTGGATTCGACGCTCTCCAGTGGGCCCACAGCGTTGGGCGGCGAGCCCAGCAGGCAGCAGAGGAAGCCCTCGGTCACCCCGGTCAGCATGGCGTGTCCTGGGGGTAAAGGGGAGCCTCAGGGGCCTGAGCACATGGGCCGGGTCCCACCCCAGGCACTGCGCCGGTCTATACAGAAAAGGCCAGGGCTGCCTATGGCTCCATCCTGGAATGCTTGGCCATCACCCACTTCAGCAGATGTTGGAGGGGTAGATGGGGGCCCTCAGGAGGAGGCAACATCACGGCAGATGTGGCCCAGCCTTGAAGACCCCCGTTACCAGTTAGGGCCTGCTAGGACAAAGTTTTTATTCATTCCTGCAATCCTTCAGTAACTCATTCATTCACTCTTTTGCTAATTTATTCATTTATTCCAGTAATCTCTTTCTTTCGTTCGTTCTTTCTTTTCTTCCTTTTTTTGACACAAGGTCCCCAATGTAGTCCAGGCTGGCCTTGAACTCACTGTATAGCCCAGGCTGGCCTGAAACTCAGGGCAGTCTTCCTGCCTAAACATGTCCAGCGCTGGTATGATACGGGGCAGGCTTATCATCCTGCAGGATCCTCCTGCCCACCCCACGCCCAGCTCTCCGAGGGCATTTTAAACAGTGCCCATCCCATCCCTGGGCTCTGGCTTTGAATCTGAGCCTTGAAGGAGGGGCCCAATGAAGGGGAGGGGACAGGACCTAGAAAGTCTCACTGGGCTCCCTAAGCCTTGAGTAGGCTGAGGCCTGGCCTCAGGGTGAAGCTGCTCTCTGCAGCTTGGACTGAGGATCCACGACTTGGGGTTCTGCACACCAGACCCCTCCGTTGTGTCGATGATGAAGGCGAGGACCTGCTGGGGGCCTTTCGAGCTCCATCCTGGTCCCCTGGATCAACCCCCCCCCCGTGTCCATGGCAACCACAAGAGGTTACATAACTCCAGGAGATGCCCGCGTAGTGCACCCCCATTGCCGAGGGCCTACAGCGGGGACCAAGCTGGACCCCTGTCCCTGGCCTGTGTGCCCCTGCGTGATGAGCACTGGAGACCCGACCCGCGCCGGCCCTGTGTGCAGTGCGGCGGGGACGCAGGCCGCGCGTCCGCTCGAGGGGGCCCTCGCCCTGCTGAAGAGCGCGCCTCCCGGGCACGCCAGACCCCTTCCCAGGTGCCACCATCCTTGCAGCGGGGTCGCGGCCATTGGGGCTCCGGGGCCTCCTAGGTGCCTAACGCGGCTTTGTGGACTCCCTGCCTGGAGGCGGAGCTGCTGCGGGACCGATGCTCCCCTCCCGGGGTTCACTCCAAGCTCACCTCATCGAGGGCCCCGGGCCCCGTGGCTAGCCGGAGGGGTCCCGGGGGTGGAAGGCAGCGTCTGCCCGTGGGCGCCTTTACATGGTGGCGCGAAGTCGGCCCGGGTGCGTCTTCCCTAGCTAGCACCGGCCGGAGACGGTCAGCGTAGGGGCATCGCGCCGCCACCGCGAAGGAGCCAGCCCTTTAAATCCCTCCCGGAGGGGCGGATCCTCAGTGGACGGGCGGACACCTCAACCTATCGCTACTAAGCGTTTAGCTGGCCTAGTTTGGTGCCCAATAAGAGCCGGCAATTCCATGGTGGGGTGGGCTCTGGAAGCAACAGCACCGCCCCTTTTAAGGACTCACCTTGGTGGTGGGAGGAATGGGGCCCGGCCCAGGGTGTAGATGGGGTTACAGACAGGGCCCTGAGGGCCTTGTCTCCTGCAAGGAACCAGTCCCGGGCCCTTACTCTAAGAATGGGTCTTCCCAGCCAGTCCCTGACTCTGAAAACCCCTGTGTCCTCCAAACCGAGCCCCATGCCTCCTTTCTCGGAGTTGACCTTTTCATTCCAGAAACAGAGACTCGTGGATCTTTGCAATTTCAGCAGGGAAACAGATTCAGGAAAGGCCCGAGTCAAGTAGGAGGCAAGGCTAGGCTGTGAATCCGCGGCTGTGTGAAGCCAGTTCCTGGACTATTGTTTAAGAAGTGCAGGAGCTGTGAGAAGTTACATAGTACATTTCACAACCAGCCAGCAATCAGTGTTTGCAGATGGGGCTGGTTGCCAGCGGCAGAAACCCCATTCTGAGGTCCCCCTGAGCCAGGCAGAGGCCCAGAAGAGCAGGGAGAGAAGGCACTGCCTGCCCTTTGCTGAAGTGTCCCCCACCTCATCCCGGCCTCCGTTTCGGGCCTTCTGCTGCTGCGTCCCGTGTGAGATTGCTAGGTAGGCGAAGACCGCCAGCTCTGCAAGCCTTGTTGGCGCTGTGATCACTGTGGCTTCGGAGGATGAGGGGCTAAGCGCTCCTCGCTGGGGTTCAGCCCCTGGAATTTGCTGCCAGAACTGTATGAGAGTCAGCAACCCACTTCTGCCTACTGGGGCACTCGAGAGATTACATACAGTCTATTCATTCAGGGAAAGGCTGCAAGCCAAGCCTGCCCCAAGCCGGGATATGCCGGACATACGCTAGGGCACTTAGGGGAGAGCCCGAACAGGTCAGGGTTCAGTCACAGGTCAGGGGTTCAGTTGGGGCATGGATGAGGTTAGAGGGAGGGGATTTTAAGGGTGGGTAGGTACCAGGCAGAGAGGAAGATGTGAAGTTCTGGAAGCTTGTGTAGAGAGGGCTTTTCGGGCCTGGAGGAGGTGGGTATTTGTGTGTGTGTGTGTGGCCATCTCAGCCCACCAGGGGACAGGGCTGGCTGGCATGTGGTGCTGGGGGATTGAACTTGAACCGCGGTCCCTGCGCTTGTTCCAAGTAGGTGCTTTAGACCACTGAGCCATCTCACCAGCCCCAGAGTTGGGTATTTTTCCTGCAGGGATGGAGAGGGTAGGAAGATACACGAGGGGGGAAAGAGTAAAGATTTGAGTTAAACAAAACAACAATAAAACAAAACAAACCTTCTGGGGGCCAGGGAGATGGCTCAGTAGAATAAGCGCTTCCCTGGCAAGCGCAAGGACCTGAGTTCAATCTCCAGTTGGGGGGGTTGGTCGTGGGACCTCTAGGGCCTGAGGAGGTTAAGCTCACCAAGGGCAATCTCAGGACACTAAAGTTTTAAAGACTGAATTGAAGCTAAAAGAGGTGCAGGACTGCTTTCAAGGACATGAAGATAGCTCGAACTCAGTCCTCCTGGGTTTCCTGCGAGTCAGGATGTGGGGTGATCACCTGGAGGAGGAATGGGGATGAACAAGACAGGGCAAGAGACACGAGAGACAAAGCCTTTCTATCAAGTCTTATTTTTTATTTATTTATTTTTCTTTTCAAAGTTTTATTGATATCAAGTCTTGTTTATTGAGTAAGTGAGCAGGGTCTAAATAGCCATGTAGTGGAAGTAGTTGGGTGGGACTAGTTGCAGATTGGTAGCAAAGGTCCAGGACCACAGGAAGATGCCAAGTCAAGCAGGGATTGGTGCTGCAGCATTTCTTGCCCAAATTAAGGTAAAGTGTAAAGAGGAGCGTTCTATCGCCCCCCCCCCACGTCCCCCTTTCTTATTAATTACATCAAGTGGGAAATTGACAGTGCCCTGAGGAGACAATGCCTGGCTTGGGTCAAGGACTCCTTCACATGAGATGGACCAGACCTTACCTGTCTTGGGATTGCAGGGCAGCAATAGGCCCTGTTCCTGTCTTAGTTGGTCGGCCGTGCTGCATGTGGGTCCTAGTTGCCCGTCACTGACTACTTGTCCATCTCACCAGGGTGGGGCCTATATCAGATTAGGCTACATCATCGTGGGGTCCATTCAGGGGAAGCCTCTCATGATAACTCTTGTTGATCTGCCATTTCCAGCTGATGATAATGTATCTGAATGGGCTTCGCAGCAAAGGCATCGATGTGTGAACTAATGAAGGATGTAAGCTTTTGAAAAATGCAAGGCCCTACCATAAGCAAGAGTAAGAGTGAAAAGAGGGGTCCCGATAGGGGTACAGGGTAGGGGAACATCCCTCCCCATAGCGAGAAGGGGTTGTCCGCAAGCTGTTGTCTCCACTTGAGTAGTTGATCCTGAAGCTCCCGGAGTTTGTCTTGAACTATGCCTGAATTTTTGGCATAAAAACATCATCTTTCACTGTGTGCAGAAGTTTTTCTTTAGAACCAGGAGTTCCCCAGTTCCCTAAGCCTCCTTCCAGGGAGCTGGGCCGAATAGCAGGACGAGGCCCAGGAGCGATGACCAAGCTGCCGTCACTGGCTGCAAGAGAACACAAGGACACTACCCTCAGGGCATAGCATCATCCCTGGGCTCATCATCAGTGTCTTTCAGCTTATTTGTTTGACTAGGTGCTCAGGAAGCCATCTGCCTGATTTTGCGTGCCGAGAATAGATGCACACTGAGCCCCATCCCCATATGAGAACCGGGTCAGGACCATTCCACCATTCCAAGTGCCCGTCAGGGGGATCTCACCACATAACCGAGGTGAATTGAGTCTGTGTTTGAGTGTGCCAAAAGCAGGATGCTGCGGAGCGACCATTGGTATCCAAGATCAAAAAATTAAAGAGTGAAGAGTGCATGGGATACTATATTTCTGGGAGACCCTTGAGTAAGGTACCAGTCTCCCCTTTCCATTTTATTAATGGTGAGCTTTAATGAGAGGTGCGCTCGTTCAAGAATACCTTGTCCTTGGGGGTTATATGGTATACCTGTAGTGTGAAGGATGTTGAGTGCCTTGCAAAACCGAGTAAAAGCGACACTGGTGTAACCTGGCCCATTATCAGTCTTCAATTGTTGGGGGCACCTCAAAACCGAGAGGGCAGTCAGCATATGAGCAATGACATGTTTGTTAGCTTTACCCGTTTGGAGGGAAGCATAAATAGATCCACTATAAGTATCAACAATTACATGAACATATTTTAATTTACCAAATTCTGTCATGTGAGTAATGTCCATCTGCCACAATGCATTGGGTATCAACCCCCTAGGGTTTACACCTAGATGGGGCACTGGGAGATTCAGGGCACAAGATGGGCAATTTCTTACAATCTGTCTGGCCTGATCACAAGTTATTTTGTGCATAAGCCAAAGGGTTTGGGCATTTAGGTGATGCAGTTGATGGCTATGTTGAGCAGCACGCATGCCGTTGCTAGAGCGATCAGCTTGGGCGTCATTTAGGATGGTGGAGAAGGCCTGAACTCAAGTGGCCAAATCAGCTTTTTGGTTCCCTTTTGCTAAGGGTCCGGGCAGGTTAGTATGAGCTCTCCAATGTTCCATGAAGAATGGGTGTTTCCAAAGACAGACTAGCAATTGCAGTTGTCTAAACAGATCAGCAGCTGGAGAAGTCTTACAGATAGCGCCAACCGTCTCTAGGAGAGGTACGGAATGTGCGAGATAAGCGCTGTCTGTATATATATTGGGAGGCTGAGTTGGAAAGGCATTAAAAACAGCCATGACAGGGGCTGGGGAGATGGCTCAGTAGAATAAGCACTTGCCTGGCAAGCGCCCTTGCGCTTCTGAGTTCAATCCCCGGTTCCACAAAAAAAATAAATAAAAACAGCCATGACAGCGTGTAGTTGTGTCAATTGTGCTGAGGAAGAATCTGTTTGAAAGGTGACAACACTATCCTGAAATGCATAAGCTATGGTAGGGCCATATGGAGCAACTGCGGTCTTTAATGCTTTCAGTGCAGTTACAGTAAAAGGGGCATGGGCCTCAACAGCCTGAGGCTTGGTGCCATTTGAGGCAGGGGCCCATTAAGCCCAGGTGTCATATTAGGGGCGCCACGTGTCTGACCATCTGACCGGTCTGCAAGGATTGTAACTGTAGCGTGAGCCTCTGGCACTCTTGTTCCAACTGTATCTGTTTCTGTAACTCTAGCACTCGGTTCTCTAGGTCTAAAAGCACATTGGAGGGTTTAGGAGCAAGTTTGAGTATCTCATTATTATCGGGGGCAGCTTTACGGCGACCGGGGCTGTAATGGGATCAGAATGATACCTGGAGGCTTTTTTGGCTAATTTTTTCCAATCAACCTCTTAAGGTAGCGAGGTCGGGGTATAAGGGCTTATGATGGGCTTGGAGAGGGGCTGGGGGGGGCGGCGGCAGGTGGGGGAGGGGCAGATGGCAAGGGCTCAAAAGGAGGAAGGGGCGGCTGAACCCATTTTGGTGTTTCTCCAACATTTCGCTTGCTTCCTCATCAGAGGGAGAGGAGACATCTGAATCAGTCCGAGAGGGGGCCGGAGTGGGTCTGCTCGAGTTGCGCAGGGCGGCCTCCCCCTGGGTAATCATCTCCCTGACCAAGGGGGTCCCCATGTCGCTGCGTAAGTATCTCATCAATCAGATTCCAGTATGAGAAGGCTGTGACTGGGACCTTTTCAGGGCCAAAAACTCTATAAAAATCCTGTAATACATCGCCCACTCGTTTCTATCTTTTAGAATCGATCGTGCCCTCCAACGGGAACCACGGACAAACCTCATGAATAAACTTAAAATACTGTAATAAATTCTTTTCCTTTACCTTGATCCCCCGTGTCTTGAGTGCCTCGCTGAGGCTTTCCACAAAGAGCTCGTGCTCGCGTAATGCCTGACCCATGCCTGGAAGGGGGAGGGGGTTGCCGTTCACTCACCGTGGCTCCGGGCGCGGCAGGCACTCGTACCGGGCTCTCCAACGGCTCCCTCGTTGAGTCCCCCGTGCCAGGCCCCACGTTGGGCGCCACTTGACTCGTCCCGCGAGTCAGGACGTGGGGTGATCACCTGGAGGAGGAACGGGGATGAGCAGGACAGGGCAAGAAACACGAGAGACGGAGACCAGACAAGCTTTCTTATCAAGTCTCGTTCATTGAGGAAATGAGCTGGGTCTAAATAGCCGGGCAGCGGAAGTAGTTGGGCGGGACTGGCTGCTGATTGGCAGCAGAGGTCCAGGACCACAGGAAGAGGCCGAGGCACGCAGGGATTGGTGCTGCAGCGCTTCTTGCCCAAATAAGGGAAGGTGTAAGAGGGGCGGTCCATCGCCCCCCGCACCCTGCCAAGGGGCAGACATTTCGCTGCGGCCAGAGAAAGGTTGCCAACTAGCTGTGTGCCATCTGCCCCGCTCTTGCTGTGGGTGAAACGACCAACCAGCCGTTTCCTGTGTCTGCAGCCAGCTGTGCCACCGCCAACCCAGGGCACCCTCTATCGTTGAACAAGAGAAAGAACTACAACTTCCAGCAGTTCTTCCTGCACGTAGGGCAGGTCGAGGCGGCGCCGTTCGCCTGCCACCTACTGGTCAAAAGGAAACACTGCGCCCCTGCTGCCGTGCGCCGGCGTAAACCTGCCGCGCTGGTACGCCAGGACTAACTACACGTCCCAGGAGCCTTTGCTCCGCAGCGACTGGGCGGGTGAGCCCCGGGGACGACTTGGGCCGCCGGAGCAGCACGGAGCTATGGCTTTTGCGGCGGGATTCTTATTGGGCCCCACCGGAAGGTCAGCGGCACTGCTGGGCAGCAGGTGAGGCCTCCGGGTCCTCCCCAGATTTAGGAATGTGGCTGATTCGGTAGCTGACGCCAGTCTCCCGCCACCCGCAGGGCCGGACGCGGCCCCTTGCGACTCAGCTTGGTCCCGGAGAGGCTCCGAGAGTTTGGACGTCGCGCGGGGTCACGCAGCGGCCGCCGCTGACCTTCCTCGCCGTCTCCTTGTCCCCACAGATGGCTCCAGCCCCGACTGTGGCTGGGGATCCCTGCCCCGCTGCAGGCCCGCGGCAAGGCGCGCGGGAACGAGTACCAGCCGAGCAACACCAAGCGCAAGCGCAAGCACGGCTGGGTCCGGCGGCTGAGCACCCCGGCCGGCGTCCAGGTCGTTCTGCGCCGCATGCTCAAAGGGCGCGCGTCGCTGACCCACTGAGGACCGCGACCCTCGGATCTCGGCACTGCGTGAGTGCGGAAGACGCCGACGGGAGTGCACCAGATTGTGAGGATGGCCTGGAGATTTGGGGAGGACTGGGAATGGGGGCGTGGCAGCCACACTAGGCCAGCAGCTGCCCAGCCCCGCATTTGCACGGTGGGGGCTTCCGCACCCTCGCAGCTGTCCACGGAAAGGAAATGCGCACGCCGTTTAACCGCTGCAGCAGGACCAATGAATACCCTCAGCCCTCCACCTCCCCCGAGTTACTTCAGAGCTGATCTCAGGCATCGGATTATTTTCTGTAATGTTTCAGATGGCGTTTCCAAGATAAGATCTTTTGAAAGCATGGTCACGAATTTATGTCCTCTGCAAATGACAGTGGTTTCTAAATATCATTAAATGTTTACTAATGTTCAAGTCTCTGCTTTAAAAAAAAAAAAAAAAATCTAGCGAGCTAGCTAGCTAGCTGTCTGTCTTACAGTTCCAAAAAGCCCGTGTGGAAGATGAAGGGCCCCCAGACCCCCTGCCTGCCCTTGGGGTGGGTGGTGACCTCAGGGCAAGGCCAGCCCCCCAGGCTGTCACGGGGCTCTTTATTTGCAGTTTACCGTTAGTAGTTTGCTGAGCACTTGTGTATGAAGCATACAACCTTGTTCCGAAGGGGCCGTCTGTCCAGCAGGACAAGTGGTCTTAGACCTAGGCTGTTCCAGAGTAGAACTGGGGGCTGGAGGAGCCCAGACTAGGCTTTGGGAAAAGTGGCAGGGTCTTCGGAGGGATTAGGTAGAAATCACAACACAGGTGGATGAAGAAACAGGAGGGACCCAAAATTTAGGGACCAGGAAGTAGGGCTGGATCTGTGGAGGGACTAGGGAGCCGTGGAAAGCATTTGAGCAAGTCAGAGTTGTCAGTACAAGGACAGATGTGGCTCACAATTGTAATGGGGTAGAGGCAGGAGCACTGAGTAAGACCAACCTGGGTTATATAGTGAGTTCAAAGCCACTCTGAATTACAGGTGAAATTCTGATTCAAAAAACCAAAACTAGGGCCGGCGAGATAGCTCACTGGACTAAGCACCTACCTAGGCAAGAGCAGGGATCCAGTTTTGTTTTTTTTTTTCTTTTTTTTTTTTTGGCGGAACCAGGGATTGAACTCAGGCCCTTGCACTTGCCAGCCAAGCACTTATTGTACTGAGCCATCTCCCTGGCCCCAGGGACCCAGGTTTGATCCCTCAGACCACATGCCACTTGGGCCCTGCCCCCAGGTGCACTGAGCCAGCCACCGAGTTCAGGTCCCCGGCAGTGGTGTCGCAGGCCTGTAATCCTAACTCTGGGGAGGCTGAATACAGGAGGATCACTATGAGTCTGAGCTGTGTAGTGAAACCCTGTACTAAATACATTTAAAAACCAAAAATAATTCAAGTAGCTAGGGTGGAGCTGTCTAGCAAACTCAAGAATGATTTTGTTTGTTGCTTTTCTTGAGACAGGGCCTTTGTTCAGGCTGGCCTTGAACTCGTTGTGTAGCCCAGGTTAGCAACCAACTACAGCGATCCTTCTGCCTCAGCCTGCAGAGTGCTGGGATTAACCTAACCGGGTTTCGCCTCTCCTGAAGTGATGAACCATAACTCCCATAAGGCATCGCGGCATGGCCTCCGCCCCCTTCCTGCTGCCTTCTGCTGCTTCCAGGTTCTGGGCGGGGCTTTGCTTTCTCAACTCCACTTGATAGTGAAAAGAGGTGTGGCGGCCAATGGGTGCGTATGTTAGCAGGTCTGGCCAATAGGAGTACGTAGAGGACATTCAGTGGGGGCGGGACTAGGGCGAGGGCCAATGGCAGGGCGTGGCGGCGCCATCAGTGTGCGCTGTGCCGCGGCTGGAAGTTGCTGTGCGGCGGCGGCTGGGAAGGTGGCTGTGGTGGCGGCGGCTCAGCCGGAGACAGAGGGAACAGAGGATGGTAAGGGCAGTCATGGCCCCGTGCCCCTTCCACTAGTCCACACAGCACCGCCGGCCCGCCGCCCCTTGTAGTCCCCGCTGCCCGTCTTTGCCTTGCCTCGTCCCTTCGGGGGTGTCTGCCTGATCCTCTCACTGGCCTATGACCTCCGACCCTCCCTTGAGCTTAGTGCTGACCCCGCCCCGGCTCCTTCTCGACCCCTGACCCCCATTTGGCTCCCAGGCCCTGACAACGCGTCCATTTCCGGGTCGCAGCTCCCCCCGGAAGTGGCTCGGGTGGGGTCCGTGGAGACCCCGGCTCTGGTCCCCTGCTCGGCGCAGCAGGTCCCGGGCTTCTGCAGCTCGGAGGCTCGGGAGTCCGGTCCGGGCGCCAGGGAGGGGGAGGAGGCTTGACAGACTACGTGCGGGGCTTTGTCGCCAGAGGAAGTGCGACATAGCCAGCCCAGGGCCGGACCCTCCCCCATCCTGAGCCTCTCGGTCCCCTGGAGAGGACACCTCCCCTCTCCCATTACCACCCTCGCCCCGAGTAATAAAGGGTCTCGGGACGGACCTCGTGGGACTGTGACATTTAGGGAACCGGCGCGCTCCGCGCCCGGGACGAGATCCTCCAGTGAGGCGGTGGCACCGCTGGTGACATCTCCCTCACCCCCTAAGTGAGCCCTGCGTGCCGGCGAGCACTAAAACTCTCAGCTCCCGCCTACCCACCCAGGGATTCAGGGCTTGGTGTCTCCACCTGTGGAGTTGGCAGCTGGCCGTCAGGGGAGGCCTGGTCGGGCTGTGGCGGTAGTGGTAGCAGGGACTGGGTGCTGGGCCTCATGGCTCTCCCAGGCCCGCTGTTGTCCCTGGTCCGTCGCTGCCACGCTTCCATTGCACCCGCCCGAGGAGGTCCCATGGGACTTCCAGAAGGCAAGGAAGTGTACTTCTGGCCCCCACCCTGGCCCAGCTGGACATTACCTGCCTGGATGCCCACCCATCTCCATCCTGGTCTGGCTGATATCCTATCCCTTTGCAGTCCTTAGTTCATCTGGAGCCAGGAGTTTTTTTTTATCTTTAGGGCTTAATTTTTCGTGATAGGGTCTCTACATAGTTCAGGCTGGCCTTGAGCTCCCAGATATCCTACTGCCTCAGCCTCCTGAGTGCTGGAGTTACTGGCCTGGCCACCATGCCTGGTTATGGGAGAAGGTGTTTTTAAAGAAATGAATCAGATTGCAGCAGTTGCTGGTTTATAGCCCCCTCTGGGGGCTTCCTGTGTGAGCCTATGGAACGCAGTCCCTGCCCTTGGCCCCTACCTCTGTGACCTCATCTCCCCCCTCTGCAAGCCCCAGCCCACGGGCCCACCTGCTCTTCTTCCATCCTCATTTCCTGCTGCCCCAGGGCCTTTGCTGCCTGTACTTCTTCCATACTCTGGACTGCCTCCAGTGAACACCCTTTCTCCCCAGATTTCTTCCTGACTCAGGAGCTACAGTTGTTCCATTGCTTGGTGCTCCATGGGGTGCAGCGTACTGTGAGGTGTTCTTTGAGGCCTCCTCCCAGGCTGGTCTGGCTGTAGGGCTTCTTCCTAGCCCTTGGGCCTGGTTTCACAGTAGCTCACAGGAAGCAAGGCTGATTCTTGTCTGTGGGAATTTATTCAGCACAGGGAACTTGACATTGGTGCAGGACACCTGGGTGCTGTGAACTATAGCTCTTTGCCTGCGCTGTCCCTCATGCAAACTCCTGGTCACTGGGGAGGTGGAGAGGACAGGGCCAGATGGAGGGAATCTTGCCAGTGCTACCCTGCTGTGTGCCCTCAGCCAGGTGCCAGTCTATTCAGGGAGGCTGTTGTGCAGACTAGAGACAGGGACAGTGGCTGGGTAGGGTGGTTTGAGCTGTGGGGTGGTGGCGGGGTGCCCCACAGAGATAGGGACATGCCTGGGAGTGGTAGGAGCAGTCAGGGCTGGAGCAGTGATGGGCCCCCTCCTGTGTCACTGCCATAGTGCACGCTCTACACCTCCGTGTCCCAAGTCTCATTGGCTGTGCTCTTGTTTCCTGTGCACTGTTTCCCTTTGGTCCCCACAGGAGGCGGCTGTGGTGCTTGCACCGGTGCCTTGATCCCAGAGTGGGCCTGCTGGGTAGCAGCAGCCTGAGGAGCTGCCACCAAATGGAAGAAGCCAGGCCTGGCATCCTGGGCTGGGGTGGGCGAGGCAGGCCATGCCAGCCCCCAGGTTGCCTACCCAGGAATGTGTTCCCTTGGCCCCAGGGGGTTCTGGGAAGCTTTGTCCACCCAGCTGAGGTCCTCTGGATCCCAGGGATGGGGATGGACCTGAGGGCTCCAGCCTGTGGACCTGGGACCTGTCTGTACATGGGTTCCAAGTGGCTCACCTAATGGAAGGTGCCAGGCCTCTGAGATGAGTGACAGGTGGCTTTTCTGCCTCAGTCTCACCTCCCAGGAAGCTGCAGCTGTGCATGGCTGAGCTATGAGATTGGGCACAGTGATAGGGTCTCCCCCCATCCTGATCGCCAGGAAGAGGGAGTTCACTGCAGTCACAGGGGCCTGCATGCCTGTAGGTTCAGTGGCCGGGCTAGCCCAGTGTGGTGGCAGTGGGGAGGGAGAACTGCTCCGTTGAGCACGTTCTCTTTGAGGGTCCCCAGAAGAGCCCCAGCTGACGGATGCCTTTGCTGTGGTGGAGTTTTCTAAGGCTGAGCTGGGATTCAGAACCTGGGAATGAGGTCCAGCTGTGGCACGGTGGGGCTCCGACCCACACTGCAAGAAAGAGAAGAGTGGTACATTTAACTCAGGCTTCTGGGTTCCTTGCCTTTCCTTCTTTCTGCCTGCCTGCCCGCCTACCTGCTGTTTTTTCCTTCTGGGGATGGAACCCAGGCCCCGCACGCCAAGCTACATCCCCAGTCTTTCATCCCCAGTCTTTTTTTTTTTTTTTTTAGGGACCAGAAATCAAACTCAGGACCTTGCGCTTGTCAGGCAGGCACTTAAGCCACTGAGCTATCTCCTTAGCACCAGTACCCCCAGTGGTGGGTTTTTTGTTTTTTGTGGTATTTTAGGGAAGGGTCTATAGGGTGTTCACGGTCTCACTACTAGATTGGACACATAGTGATCCGCCTGTTCACAGCCTCCCAAGAGCTGGGATTACAGGTGTGCGCCACTGCACCCAGTCTCAATTGCTGTGTCAGTGTGCCCCGGGGACAGGGCCAGCATGGCAGGCCTGGGGCTCGAATCCCGGCTTCTGCGTATCTGCTGAACTGTTTGGCCGGCCCTGCCCCTCTGCCCACGGTTTTTGTTAAAACTTTTGTTTTAGTTTTTTATTTTGAGGCAGCCCCTTACTGAGTTGCCCAGTTCATGGTTGAGCTCACGGTCCTCCTGCCTCCTTGGCCCCGCAGCTGCCAAGGTCATAGGTGCTTGCCCCTGTGACTGGCTGCAGAGTGACTGAGTAGGTGGTCCCTCTTTCTGAGCCTCAGTTTTCCTGATTCCTGCCAGGCTCTGTGATGACCTTGTGTGGGATGGCAGTACCTGCGCTGGTGTTGAGCAGAGAGAAGCAGGAGCCGCGGCGCGACCCAGTGGGGCCAGACAGAGCCTCACTTTCCACCCTCCATGTCTTCCAGGCAGACTTTCTGAAAGGATTGCCTGTCTACAACAAGAGCAATTTTAGTCGATTCCATGCTGACTCTGTGTGCAAGGCTTCGGTGAGTGTGTTCCGGGGTCCCGGGGCAGGCCATGTGGGCAGGGGCGCTGGGGGCGGTGGCTGGGGGTGCTGCACGCCTGAGCCTCGCTCCTCCTGCAGAACCGGCGCCCCTCTGTCTACCTGCCCACCCGGGAGTACCCGTCAGAACAGAGTGAGTCAGCGCCGCCCGGCTCTGGGGTGGGATGCATGCTCGGTGAAGCCGGGAGGCCAGAGCCTTGCGTGGCGAGGCCAGGCAGGTGGGCGCTCACCCAGAGGGTGGGGATGCAGGTGCCTCTGGGTGCCCTGAAGGCTGTGCACATCCCGCAGCTGCTGACCCTGGCCCTAGGCTCAGCTTGTGATCCCCAGGGATACAGGTAACACCGATGGCACAGACAGCTCAGACAGGGAGGCAGTGGAGGGACTGGGTCCCAGGAGAACCCAGACAGGCCTAGAGTGGCTATGGACCAGGCAGAGGGCGCTGCTGGGTCAGACTTGGTGTAGTGTTCGGAGCGCTGAGAGGAACCCATGTGCTGGCTACAGCGGCACCAGCCTGTTGAGCCAGCCTAGGAGTCTGAGGCAGGAGAATCACAACTTTCAGCCTCCTCAAGCAACTCACTGGGTTAGATGCTGTCTTAAAGCAAAGAAGCCCTGGGCTCCTGCAGGGTGGGGGTGCCACGTGCCTTGGGTGCTGCTGTCTGGGTCTGCGCTTGTGTGTGCCTGGGTGCTGGGCAGCGCGGGGCCTGCAGCCCTGCGGGAAGTGGGGCCCTATGCTGGGAAGCTGGGAAGGCAAGGCCAGGCTCTTGGTGACCCTCCCCTGAGGTGGGCATGACTTTGAGTACAGACCTGAGAAGATGGCCTCGGACTGGGACAGGGGAGAGCAGCCCATCCACCTTGGCCACTTTCTTTTTCCTTCAGTCATTGTGACGGAAAAGACAAATATCCTTCTACGCTACCTACACCAGCAATGGGACAAAAAGGTAAGGCACATGGAGTTCAGATGCTAGGGATTGAGGTAGCTCAGGTTCTGATGGGGCAGTGGGTGAGTGATGAGGAGAGGGGGATTTGAGTGGTGCCTTGGCTCGGTAGGAGTTCACCAGGTGCTCCAGGAGCTAGCAGAGGCTCCAGAGGGGGCAGTAGCTGGCTCTGCCACAGCGGCCTGGTAACGGGGGTAGGAGCTGTGCTGTGGCCAAGCCCGGCCTCGGTAATCCTTGCAGACGTGGTAACCCCCTGTCGGGGCTGTGGAGCCGTTCATACTCCGTGTCCCCCACAGAATGCTGCCAAGAAGAGGGACCAGGAACAGGTGGAGCTGGAGGGTGAGAGCTCCGCGCCACCCCGCAAGGTGGCGCGGACAGACAGCCCCGACATGCACGAGGACACCTAGGCCGCCGCCCGCCCCGTGTGTAAGCGCCCGCCCTCCCCGCTGCACCCTCCCGCCCATCCACACCACTTCCAACCTCATAGGAGCCGATGTATTTATTTTCCTTGCGTTTTTATTTATGCTGTAACACTTGTCACGCCTTGGTTAAAGGGGACTCAGATCTAGTAGTGACATGTCTTAGATGCTTCCTCAGTAACCCAACCCCTGGCCCCCACCAGGTCCCCAGCCTGGGACCCAGGTGTCTGGTGTCTCTAGCTGGGTCCCACCGCTGCTGGTGGCAGGGGTGGGGCCAGCCGTGCTGCCCCATGTGTCCCCACGCAGGGTGCCATGGCCCCGGCTCGTGTTAGCGGTTTTATCCTGGACTCGTGCGTGCTCCGTGTCCACCCCAATAAAGGATCTTTCCTACTCCACCTCGCGTCTTTGCTCCGCCTGCCTCGGCTGCAGAGGACGGAGCTCCATGCGCCCAGTGTCGTCCTGTCATCGACCTGTCGGCACCACGGGGAGTGAGGAGGGGTCCTAGCGCAGCCAAGCCAGCGGATTCTCCTGAGCCTCTTCGGCCACATCAAGGCCGTGATGCCATGGACTGGTCATGCACCCCACCTGTTACCTCATCCTGCAGACCAGCTTGGCCCAGAGACAGTGCAGGTCCCAGGACACTGCCAAACAGGGTGCCAGGGGCAGGGGGGACCCTTCCACAGATGGTTATGCCATTTTGGGTGCCACCTCTGGGCTGGGGTGGGTGAGGCTGGGGCCTGTCCCTGGCCTGGGTCTACCGCTCCACCCTACCCACCCTAATGGACCCTGAAGGTGGCTGTGGCTTTGGTAGCTCAGCTGGGACGTTGGGGGTGGTGAGGGTGTGGGACTTGGACGAAGGAAGGGGCAGGAGGGTTGCCCTCAGGTCACACTGCCACAAGTGTGTGCTGGGCTGCAGGGGCACCGATCTCCCTCGGGTCCCACTGGGCCGCTGTCTGTATCTCACTACCCCATGCGTGTAGGCCCTGGGTGTGGGCTGGGCTGAGCCCCCGGGAGCTTGTGGGCCAAGCTTGGGTGGGTGCCTCATCACCTGGTTGGTGACAGAGGATGGGGCTTGGGCTGGGTGTACCCCCTTCCCTTGGGTGTCAGACATCCATCCCAGCGGCATAGCACAAGGTCCTGACTCCGATTCCTGGGATGCAGAACACCAAATAGCAGTACCCTCTGAGGAGCTAGTCCCTGCCCTGGTTGCCTCGGGTCTGCGTACCGGCCTGGAACACATCCCTACCCCACCCTGGCGCTCCCTGCCCTCCCTCTGCTGGCACAGACTGCCCCAATCTCATCTTTGAGGGAGGATGCACACATTGGGGTCCCCACCTGAGGTCCTTGTGGCTGTGTCTGACAGCTGCCACAGGCTGCCCTCACTCCAGCTCTCCTGATGCCAGCGGCTCCTGAGGGCCCAGATACACTGTTCTGCTTGCTGTGGTTCTGGGACCTCAGGGCCTTGCCGCAGGTGCCTCCTGGTGTACGTGTTGGTCCCTTCCTGCTCCAGATGGCTCCTGGAGGTGGCTGTCAGAATGGCCTTCTCTTCTGTGTCACCCAGCCCAGCAAGAGGACTCTGCCACCCTCACCCCCAGGCCAAGTGCCGTCTGTGCACGCCAAGATCTCCTCTGTCTGGGATACTGGGCCACCACAGGGGTTCTTCAGGCCCAGGCCCAGGTCACTCAGTGTGGGGTGAACCTGGAGCTCCGTCACCCAGCCGCCCCCTGATCCGAGCCCAGGATGCCAAGCGCACCTCTGGCACTGTTGAAATAGACTTTTTATTGCATTGCTGCCGTTTTACAAAAATATGACAAAATAAATTAAAAACAAATAAATAATTGCCTATTCTGGGTGTGGGTGTCATCTATGGATGTGGGGGCACCTTTCGTCCCCCATCCTGGTTGAAGGGAAAACGGCAGGGGGGGCTGCCCTGGTGGGGGCAGCCGTGCTGGGCAACGTGGCCAGGTCCAGCGGCCGCACTGCTGACTGCTATTGCATATGTTGGAGGTGGGGCAGCTAGTGCCAGCCGCCGGGCCAGCACACTGCATGGGGGCTGGGGCTGGGGCTGGGGCTGGAGCCGGGGCCTGCTGTGGGGGTCTCGGGTTGTTCTGGCTCCAGTTCTGGCGGTGGCAGCGGGAGACTGTAGAAGCTGGCGTCCCCGGATAGGGGCTGTGGCTGGGGCGCGGGCAGGGCCAGGGCGCAGGGCGGGCACTCAGCAACGGTGGCAGCCGGTGGGCTCGGGCGGGGGGCGGCAGCCTCACCCCCACAGCCCCAGGGTGGGTCCCACTGCCAGCAGCCCGCGGGCGGCGTCAGGGGCTGGGACCGAGGTGTAGGGCTCCGGCTGTGGCGGGTGCAGAGGGCAGGGGCGCCTGCGGGGCCTGGCGCTGTCCCTGCGGAGGGAGAGGGGCCGTTCCGGGCTGTGTCGCCCCCGGGCCCGCGGCTCCCTCCCGGCACAGGCGCAAGAAAGGCCTTATTGCTTCGGATGGGGTCAAATGGGGCCTGAGGGCCGCCTCCCTGGGCGTCTTTGGGGTGTCCCCTGCCTTAGGCCGGGGAGGGGGCTGGCGGGAGTCCCTCTGGCTTCTGATCTATGTCCCTGTCCTGGCCTGCTGGGCTGGGACCTGGCCTGGGCAGCATGGGTATGAGGGGAGCCGGATCCCCGTGCTTGGGGCTCCCTGAGCAGTGCCCTCGGATTTGCATAGAGCCTGGGGGTCCGGGCCCCCAGGAGCTGGGTGCTGGCGGGTTGTGGGGGCAGGCGCCCCTCTCTGGGGGAGGGCCGTCCCGCTCCGCTCTGCAGGGAACCCCGCTCCCCGGGGCTGGCCACCCTCCCGCCCAAGCCAGGGCGCGGCGTCCCCACCCCGAGTTAAAGCCTGTGACCTGGGCCTTCCTCTTCGGGCCGGGGCGCTTCCCGCTCCTCAGCCGAGGCCTCGTCCACCGGCCCGCTTCTGGCCCGACCGCCGCCGCCACTGGGGGCCGCGTCCTGCCGGGCCTGGCTGCCCGCGCCCGCCCCGTTGGCCTCGGCCCGCGCCCCGCCGAAAGGGAATAGCTTAGCGGCGTGGAAAGCCTTGGGGGGCGACTGGCTGCGCTCCGGGTCCCGCCGGGTCTCAGGCGACTTGAGGAACTTGAAGCTGAGGAAGGCGGGCAGACGGGTGTCCCCGCCCGTGGGAGACGGGGCTGGGGCCGGCCGGGGTGCGGGGCCTGCTGCGCCCGCCCCAGCGGTGGCCCCCGAAGACAGGAACTTGCCCTGCAGCGGGATGATCTGCTTCAGCTTCATGACGTTGTTGGGCGCCAGCAGCGAGCCGGGACGCTTGGGCCGCTCCTGCCCGTGGCTGCCCGCCCCTCCGCCCTTGGCCTTGGCAGAGGCCTTCTCCGAGCTCGTGGCGTCCAGCCCGGTGCCCTCAGGCCTAGCCTCATCCCGGCCCGCATCGCGTTCCCGACGGGCGTGGTGCTCGGCGTGGCGCTGCCGCTCCTCCTCCTCCCGCCGCCTGCGCTGCTGCTGCTGGTAGCGGTGCTGGGCCTGGCGCTCGTGTCTCTGTGGACGGAGCCACACGAGTCAGGACGCCAGGACACCAGGATGGTGGAGAGGGTGTAGGGTGAATGGCTGCCTGGGCCCTGCTGAGGCGGGGTTATTGGGGCCCTCGGGAGTGTCCTTGGAACCCCTCAGCTTCCAGGGTGCCCCTGTGGATGCAGATGAGATGCAGGCTTCCTGGGTGCCCCACAGTCCCAGTCATCCTGCGTGTTCTGGGCAAAGTGGGAAAGGATCCAAACCCGAATCTGGCACCAGCAGAATCCCTGGCCCAAGCCATTGCTTTCTGGGAATTGGGAAGAAAACACATGCTAGCTGGCTGCTAACTGTCCCCAGCCACAAGCCAGGCCATCTCAGATCCTGGGAGGAAGCTGGCCAGCCCTGCCCTGCTCTTCTAGACTTTGTTGGGGCTGCCAAGAGCCCACCCTGGCCTGGCCTGCTACCTGAAGCCCCAAGTGGGCTGCTCCATGGGAGGCCCTGGGTTTCATCTCCAGCGTTAGAAGGAAAAGCTTTAAAAAAATATCAGAATGCATCTTGGGCCTTGGCTGAGGGGTGTAGAGCTCCTGCTCCCTGCAGCTGGGCCTGAACGGATGCCATGGACTAAGAAGCTGTGTCCTGAGCCACAGTGTCTGCAGCAGTCAGAGGGTGGAGCAGGAGGCTGGGTCCCTCCTGGGGAGCACCCTGTGTATCTGGTCCTGTGGGCAGTCCCAAGACAGTCCAGAGCTGGCACCCCAGGACCCTGGAGGGGGTCCAGCTGGCACAATCACAGTTTTGACTGCTGAGCCACAAGCAACTGCCCCAGACTCTGTGGTGCTCAAGGCCCTTCTATAAGATGCTGAGCCACAGGCAGCAAACTCACGCCTCCTGACAGGCTCCCCACATGATCCCCATACCTACGGTGACTCCTGGTTGTGTAAACAGGACGAGACACTGCTGGGGAGGGCCACAGCAGCATATCAGCTGGGTACACAGCAAGTACCACAATCCCAACTACTCAGCAGGCGGAGGCAGTTTGAGGCCAGCAGTGCAAGCCAGCCTGGGTCACAGGGTGGGACCCTATCTCAAAAACAAAATAAAAGCAAGGAAAAAAATCTATGGATATTTAGTACAGATGCTTTCTTTTGGTGTTGAGGTTTGAATCCAGGCTCTTCATACTGAGTTACACTCAGCCCTTAAAGTTTCTTTTTGTTTTGAGATAGGGTCTATGTAAGTTGTCCTGGGAGGGCTCACACTTGTGATCCTCCTGCCACAGTCTCCCCAGGGCTGGGACAATAGAGGAGTTTACCTCTGGAAGACCTGTGGTCTATGATTGGCTGAGCCCTGGGGGCAGGGCCCAGCCCACCTGCACATTTTCGGTCCCACCAAGGATCTGCCCACTGTGCAGCTCGACTCCCCATGCCGTTGGATCAGGGCTTCCTACCTTGAAGGCCTCACGACGCTGGTACTCAAGTTTGGCCATCTCCTCGGCTACCCAGCCTGGGATGTCAGGGATGGCCATGTGGATGAGGTACTTGAGGAGCAGAGCAAAGTGCTGGGGGCACAGAAGGCAGCTGAAGGCCCTGGTGACACCGCCCCCCACCCGGCGCCCACCTCAGCCACCAGTGCCCACCTCGAGCACCACCACGGACACGATGGCCGCCTCTGGGCTCAGCCAGGGGAAGAGACGCTGCAGCTGCCCACACTGCCCAATGAGGTAGCAGTTCACCACGATGGCCAGAACGCCCATGGCCTCCATCACCTTCTGCAGGGCAGCGGGGGGGGGGGGGGGGCTCAGTGCACCAGGCCTGGCTGAGAAGCCCAGACTGGACCTTACTCCCTTCCCCAGCCCAGCCCACCTGCCACTGGCCGATACTTTCCACACGCTGGCCGAAGGGCCGCTGCAGCCCAGTGCACAGCTTAAAGGCATCGCTGCGGATCTCGATGAGGTTGTTGACCAGGGCACAGAGCGCAGCCAGTGGGAACGCGGAGGAAAAAAGCACAACGTAGCCGAACTGCACAAACATCTCCTGGTAGTCCTGGAAGGTGTCCTGGGGGCAGGCAGCATGGGTTGGTAGGACGTGGGTCGTGCACCTCCCAGCGCCTCAAAGCCCCACCCCCGGGGGGGGCCTCACCTCATACTTCTTCATGCAGCTCTCCAGCTCCGCCTGGGTGAGCTGGGGCGAGTGCTCCTCCTCAGGCGGGTCGATCCAAGAGGAGCGGTTCTGCCGCTTCTGCTTGGCCGCCTGCTCCCCAGAGCCAGGCTCTGGGTCTCGGCCTCCCTCAGGGCCCTGATCCCGGCCCTCGCATCCAGCCCGGCGGAGCAGGACAGCTGGAGGCTCGTGTTCGGGACTGCCAGGTGGTCCCTCTGCCTCCTCCTCCTCCTCAGCCAGGGTGAACACACCTGGCTCCATCCCCTTCTCCACCATGGTGGGGCTGCCCTCTTCCAGCAGTGCCTCTGGGCTTGGGCCAGGCCGGTGCCGCCCAGCCCCACGCTCGGCAAAGCTGACCTTCTTCAGCCTGAGCCCGCAGTCCAAGAGGTCACCATCCTCACCTTCGTCTTCCTCATCTTCTTCATCCTCCTCGTCCTCGTCCTCATCCTCCTCCACACCCCCAGGCCCGTCCCTAACTTCTCCCCCTTCCCCTGCAGGCCTGCTCTCCACGGTGGTCGTCTCGTCCTCCTCCTCAGGAGCCCCACAGCCCCCGCCGAGACACCTTCGGCTGCCTGCCCCGCTCCCACCCTCATCGGCCTGGGTTTCGAGGAGGCGGGATGCAGGGCGCCTGAGGCTGAGGCCACCGAGCAGGGCCCGAGCCAGGCCCGCCAGGGCCTGGAGGCCAAGCTCGCCACGGCGAAGGTGGCCGTAGAGGTGGGGCTGCAGGACCTCACGCACATTTTGCAGGAACTGCCGGGTGATCAGCAGGGTGGCCAGCATCTGAGGGGATGGGGAGAGGCCACGTGGGGGCAGGGGGCCAGGACCAGCGCAGAGCACCTTCCCTGGACGTTCCTGGATACGAGGGCTTTGCGCTCAGCCACTGCTTACTGCCACAGCGCACAGCCTGGCTTGAGCAGCACCCAGGTCTGGCACCAAGCACCCACCCCCAGTGTCGCTCAGGCACCCCTGGCCTCTGGGGCCCATCTTCCTGCACAGGGTCCTTGCCTCCCCAGCCCTGCTGCACATGCGCCCCAGCACAGCCACCTCCCACTTGGCCAGGCCTGTGGCCTCGCCACCTGCCCGTACTTTGGCCCGGGCTGAGAGCAGAAGGCCCCGGAGGGAGAGGAGGAGCAGGCGGAACCGCAGGGCCACGAGCGGGACCAGTACTGCCCGAAGCTGCCGCTCGAGGCTCTGGGACAGGGACAGGACGAGCAGGAGCTGTGGAGGGACCGACGGACAGATGGACAGACAGATGGACAGGAGAGAGAGGACAAACAGATGGACGGACGGACAGAGAGGAGAGAAGGATGGAGGAAGGGGGGGAGAAGCCGGGAGCCCTGGGACCCCTGGGCCAGGTCCGGCCCCCCAATGGCTGCCACAGGAGCGGGGTCTCACCTCCTTGAGACGCTCCATGTCCTTGAGGTAGAAGCCAATGTAGAAAAGACTCAGGTAGGAATTGACAAACTGGAACTGCGGGCAGGAGGGAAGCAGGTGACAGTCATCTGCAGTCCCCACAGGTCCCCGGTGTCTCACCTGTGGCAGCCACTCACCAGGACAACCTTGATGATGAGATGCTTCTCGTAGGCACTCTCCAACCGGTAATTCTCTAGGGGCCAAGGAGGACCGTGAGGGGCCAATTGTTCTCCTCACCCCCCACACAGTAGGGACCACAGGGCTGTGAGGACACCCCGGCCCTTGCAGATCATACCCATGTCATTGAGCCAGATGGCCAGCTTCTTGTAGCCCTCAGCACTAACGCTGACCAGCAGGGCCAGCATGACCTTGGGCAGGAAGCGGGCGAGGCGTGGCAGCCCCTTCACACTCAGCACCAGCTCCTGCAGCAGGCAGGGGTTCTGTTCAGGGTAGGCTGGTGGGCAGGGCCAGTCCCAGAGGCCAGGGCGAGGGCACCAGGGTCACCTGCAGCTGGAAGCATCCGAGCATGAGCAGGAAGACACAGGCGAGGCAGGCCAGGCACAGGGGCAGGCTCACGAGCAGCTGGAAGAGCAGCCGCTTCCAGGGTGGGTAGTAGAACTCCTCTGCACGGGTCACAGGGCTGATGCGACGCACACCCTGGCAGAGGGCGGGGCTGTGTGAGACCCAAGGTCACCCTGCTTCAGGTCCCTTTTGGCCCCTTCTGATGCAGTTTCCTCCAGAACACTTGCTCTGGGCTAGGGCTTTCTCTTGGAGCCCGCTTTAACCTCAGGGCCCCTGCCAAGCCCACCCACCTGTGCCCCTCCCTTTCCCACTTCTGCCAAGCTGGAGGCTGACCCTGAATTGCGGGCGTGGCTCCTCCATGACTTCCCCAGGCGAGTCCAGAGTCCCCCACTTGTAGGCCAGCTCAGCACCCCTCCGTTTCCACTCCTCCAAGAACAGTGTTGACCAGATCACATTGAAGAGTGCAAATACCACACAGGACACATCTCGGCTTGTCTGTGGGGCCAGCGTGGTGGTGAACTGCCAGGCCAATGGCAAGAGGAGGCCGCTCAGCCTGGCCTCCCAGCCCGTGCGCTACCTGGTCGGCCTCTGTGAACGTGTACAGCACGGAGCCGAAGACAGCCGGATATACCATTGCTGATGTGTAGAAGCCCAGCCAGGCAAAATACATGGCAATCTTCACACCGAAGTAGTCGCAGATGTCATCTGCCAGGGAGATAGGGGCAGGTCACCTCTGTCTGTCTCCTGGGACCCCTGTCTACTCCTGCCCAGCCCCTAGGTATAGCCTGGACCATACCTAATGGCTGGTTTTCACACACTGCCTGTACCCAGGATTTCATCAGGCGGTTCAGAATGCGCTGCTCATGCACGGGAAACACCTGCTGGATGATCCCACGGGCTGCCAACTCGGGGACTGCAGGAGGACGGAATAGGTGACACCGGCCTTGCCTGCTTCTGCCTCCACCGTGACCCAAGCGGAAGCTCTGTGCCTGCTCTTAAACCCTAGGGGCCCTTCCAGGGGAGGAGGGCTGGATGGATATCTCATCCTCCTTGAGAATCTGGGAGATGCAGGAGTGGGCGGGAAAGTGGGGGGGGGCACCCAGAAGGGAGGGTCCAATGGGAAATAAAGCTGTCATCTGAAGGTGACCTTTCATTAGTTGTTTTCATAGGGGGGAAACCAAGGCCCAGGCCTCACTCCACAGTGTATGGAGCGCTGTCCACGGTCCTGACACCTTAATCAGACCCAAAAAGAACTTAGGCCAGACCCGCCTACCAAGAGATAAGCCCAACCCTTTGCAGAGACCACACCCTTCAACGAACTGATTGGCTGGACTCCATTCACGGAGACCACACCCCTGAATTCATTGGTTAACCTCTTTACTAACCCCTAAGTGGTTGGACCTAAGCCCCGCCCTCATTCACCGCCCCCACCCATCTCACTGCCTATGATTGGAGGGTCAGCCCCATTTCGCTCACTGATTGGCTGGTCCTCCAGGAAGCGCACGTTGTGCAAGGCCTCTCCCTGCTTGGCACGCAGGTTCTGCAGCCAGAAGCGGATGATGCTCTGGCGCTCCTGTTTGGGACAGGGTGTGAGCTCGGTGAGCGGCCCAGAGTCCGGGGCGCCCTGGGGGCAGGTGCCAGCCCCACCTGGGAGGTGAAGAAACGCAGCTCGCTCTCTACATTCTCATAGATGAAGTCCTCTTCACAGGAGAAGCCTCGAGTGCCCCCGCCGAACTCGGCTTTCACGGCCTTGCGCAGCCCCAGCTCGTCGGCGCCTCTGAGCAGGCTGTGAGGAGGGCAGGGGGCTCACAGGGGGCCCGGAGGGACGCAGGGCGACCTGGGGCCGGGGCAGGGGCAGGCACTCGCCTCTCGTAAGTGGCGGTGACAAAGAAGGCATAGGCGCGTGTGCGTCGGTGGTGGCGGACTTGCACGATGAGCTCAGGGATGCCCACCCGGATGTGGTTCAGCAGCCAGAGCAGCGTGTGGTCGTCGGTCGTGTCTGCCAAGGGGCACAGGCACCGATGGCTCTCGCCACAGGAGGCCCCCGGGCTTCCTACCTCCTCCCACTGGGGAAGGCTGAGTCAGGAGGCCCTCGGGTACCTGGGAAGGTCATGAGCACGTCGCAGTTCTCCGTGGGCACCGTCTTCATCCATGCTTTGTGGGACACGAGGTAGCGCCCCGCCTGCAGCAGCCGCTTCCCGAAGAGCTTGTCTGGGGGGCAGGGGTAAGGCCACCGGGACCGTCACCGCCCAGACCCGGCCTCGGGCTCAGCCCTCCAGCTCCCCGACACTGCCTGACACTCGAGGGTCAGCCCACCGCGCTGGCCGGGCTTGCTTTCCTCGCCTCGCCCTTGCCAGGCCCTGCCCTCCCCCGCCAGCCCTTACACATCTTACTCATGCTCAGGCCCAGCTCCGCCTCCAAGCCCACAATCGCGGGGCGCGCGCGAGCAGCCCCGAGCAGGCGCCTGGCCACCTAGGACAGCAGCCCGGGAGCTGGGCGCGGCTCCCACCCTATGGCACAGGTGGGGAAACTGAGGCCCAGAGCCTGAAGCCACACACCCAAGGTCACACAGCCGAACCAGGTTCGAACCCGGGCCAGCGGGACTTCTTGCGCTCCACCCAAAGGACGGAGCGTTTCTGCCCACCGCGATCCCGAAGTCCATGCAGCTGGGTCCCTGAGGGGCGTGACCGGGTCCGCCCAGGCCCATCGCCCGCCGCAGGTTCCCTCAGCCCTGAAGAGCAGCGGGTCCCGGGCGGAACCAGGCCGGATGGTGGCCGTAATGCGCCTCCCCTCTGCCTTCTCGCGCGGTCCAGCAGTCGCACACATACCCAACACTCCGGACGCGGGGGCTGCAGGCTCGCCCTCTGGTGGGGGTCTCTTGCCCCTCTCCCCATCCAGGGCCGTGCCCCCGGCGCCCGAGGCGGGCTCCGCCATGGCAAGCTGGGTCAAGGGCTGCGCGCAGCCCGGGCGCCGGGGGGACGCGAGCGCATGGGGCCGAGCGCGGAGGAAACAAAGGCCTCGCCCGCCCGCGTCGCACCGTCCCCGTGCCCGGCGCTGCTTCTCGTCCCCGCCCGCTTCGAGCCCGCAGCCTCCTGTCCCGCGCGTCACTCTGGTTCTCAGCCTCCAGCCTTAGCACTCTGGTTCTCGGGCCTGCCCGCGTGGTTCTCTGGGCTTCTTTGTCGCCCGCCCACTCTGATATCTGGTGCTCGTCGCCGCCCGCACCAAGGTGCATTCTTCAAATTGTCCCAACCCATGCAACTTTCTGGGCTCCTCTGCCCCAGAGCCTTGGTTTCCCCATCTGCAAACTAGATTCTAATTGTTGGCCTGAGGCAGGACGTGGGAGGGACTAGACTGGCCTCGGGAGATTCTGGGAATAACTCACCCACACCAGCAAGAATGGGGTCACTGGTGACAGCAGGCCGGCCCTGGGGCCTTTGCACGACCTCACGCCTCAGCCCACTCCAACCTTCCTCTGGGTAAGATTTAAATGAATAAAAACAATTCTAGCTAATCCCACACTCCAAATAAACGAACTTTTTTCTTTTTCTTTTTGCCTTACTGGGGATTGAACTCAGGGCCTTGCAATCGAGCTACATTCCTAGGCTTGATTTTATTTTTTTACTTTGAGGCAGGGTCTCTTAAGTCCCCGTTGCATTAGACTGAGAGCTTGATCAAAGTGTAGTCTCCGTGGAGCACACAGTAGATGGTAGGTGTGCACTTATCAGAGGGAATCACTGGAAACAAAGGATGTCTTGTCGTGGGTTCCCATTTTGCAGATGACAGTGTAGTAGGGCAGGATGAGGATCGCAGCTAGATACCCCCCCCCCCGTCCCTCCCAGGAGTTGATGGCCCGCCCGCCCCGTACGAGAACCAGAGGATCGCGACCAGGCTCTCGAGGCCCCGCCCCCGCGCCTGGAATCCTCGCTCAGCGCTTTCTGGAGCTCCGCTCTGTCCCGAGTTAACCTGAAAGCGATCCCGGGACTCGGAATCCTGGCGAGGCGGGGGCTGCGCTGGGCTTTGGCACGGCTTCCTGGAGGAGGGGGCCTGGAGGAGGAGGGTGTGGGACGGGGAACAGCGGTCCTGGCGGGGGAGGGAAGCGAGGAGCGGCGGCTGCAGGAGCTCCCTAAAAGTTTGGGCTGGATTTTCCCTGGGCCATCGCCTAGGCTTCCCGGAACTCATCCCCAGCCCTTTGTAGTTTTTATTGTGAGCCAGGGTCTAGTTAAATCGCTCAGCTTGTGCTGGAACCAGCGATCCTCCTGCTTCAGGCTCACAGATTCTGAGATGTCGCCCCTTTCTTGGGCAAGGAAACAGCGCAACCTTTTTTTTTTTTTTGCCGCACCTACGGCTACGAATTAGCCAGGTGAAGATACAGGGCTCAAGCCCAGCTCCGCTGTGATTCTCTGCGTGCCAAGCCGCGTCCTTTCCCGCGGTTGCGCTGCGGACCCTAACAATTCGGTCCAGTGTTGCCTTGGGAGCAATCATTTCGCTGCACTCATTGGAATATGGGGCTTCGGTTTGTGGGCGGGATTTGTTTTATGTGGTCCAATGGTAGATCAGAACCTTTGAACACTGCCAGTCATATCTCAGAGTAGGCGGGGCCTGCTGCGCGCAGTGGGAAGCGGGCAGGAAGGTCAGGCGGGCGGATAGCAAGTGGTTAGATCCATGTGGCGGAAGCTGCAGATCCTGGCGGCCTGCAGGCCTCGCAGGTGGGGCGGTCACGCAGAGGGGATGTGACCGGGTGGGACGCTACTCGGGCTGCTTGGGCTCCGGGGCCGATTCCCAGCTGCTAGCCCAGCCCGGCCCCACCCTGCCCGCTTCGACGCACCTTTCTCTCCCGCCCCAGCCTCTGCACGGCCCCCGGGGCCACCATCTTCGCGCTGAGCTCCGGTCGCGGCCGCTGCGGCGTCGCGGTGATCCGGACCAGCGGCCCTGCCAGCCACCAGGCGCTGCGAAGCCTGACCGCGCCCCGTGCCCTGCCCCGCGCGCGCCGCGCCAGCCTGCGCCTGCTGTGCGACCCGCGCTCCGGCGCCCCGCTGGACCGCGCGCTGGTGCTCTGGTTCCCAGGTGAAGCCACTTGCCTCCGGGGGCGCGGGCCCGCTCGGTACCCCGCCCCTGACCTGCCCTTTCTCCACCAGGGCCGCAGAGCTTCACTGGCGAGGACTGCGCCGAGTTCCACGTGCACGGAGGCCCCGCGGTGGTGAGCGGCGTCTTGCAGGCTCTGAGTGAGTGGGTCGGAAGTGGGCACGAGGCAGGGTCGGAGAACGCGGGACCTGCACTCAGAGGCTCACGACCTGGGCTTCCTGCAGGCAGCGTCCCTGGGCTGCGGCCAGCTCAGGCTGGCGAGTTCACCAGGCGCGCCTTCGCCCATGGGAAGCTGAGCCTGCCCGAGGTGGAGGGACTGGCAGACCTGATCCATGCGGAAACTGAGGCACAGCGGCGGCAGGCCCTGCGGCAGCTGGAAGGGGAATTGGGTCAGCTGTCCCACAGCTGGGCCGAGACCCTCACTAAGGCAGGTGCCCCGGTTCTGCTCCCACCCACCCTCATCCCTTTGTTTTTGAAGATGCCATTATGGCCTTTTGGGCTAGCTGGACCTGGAGTCTGATGGAGGACAGTGAGTGCTCACCCCATGCACCCCACTTCCAGGCCCTGGCCCACGTGGAGGCCTACATCGACTTCGCGGAGGATGACAACCTTGAGGAAGGTGTCCTGGAGCAAGGTGAGCCTGAGAGGGGGAACTAGCAGCAGTGTGCATCGCAGCCCTCAAGGCTCTGACACCCTGCCTACTGCCCACAGCTGACCAGGAAGTGCAGGCGCTGGAGGTGGCCCTGGGCGCACACCTGCAGGACGCCAGGCGCGGTCAGAGACTCCGCTCAGGGGTGCACGTAGTGGTCACGGGACCTCCGAATGCTGGCAAGAGCAGCCTAGTGAACCTGCTCAGTAGGTGGAGGCAGGTGGGGCCTGGGGTGGGGTGGGAGGGGACCTGAGTCAGTCCTGGGGAAGAGGCTGGAGGGGACCAGCACAGGGAGGAGCATGCAGGAGACCTCTTGTCACAACCCACCCCTTCCTTGGACCTCCAGGCCAGAAGCCAGTTTCCATTGTGTCCTCGGAGCCGGGTACCACCCGTGATGTGCTGGAGACCCCTGTGGACTTGGCTGGGTTTCCCGTACTGCTGAGTGACACAGCCGGGCTGCGGGAGGGTGTGGGAGCCGTGGAGCAAGAGGGTGTACGGCGAGCCCGGGAGAGGTGAGTTGTGGGCCTGCCTACCTCCGCTCCTTGGTGCCCTTGCTTTCCCTTCTTCCCATTTCTAGAGGGGCTGCCAAGGGGCTCCTTCTCTTGAAGGAGCTCGCCTTCACCCAGCCGGCTTCCCGCCTTCCTCTCGCAAATGCCTGCCTTCCTTACTCTGTCAAAGGGCTTGCTCTGTCTGTAGTGGCCACTCCCACTCCCCACCCCCTTGCTCTCGCCCCGCCCCTCACTCATCACTACCCCCTCCCCCAGGCTGGAGCAGGCCGACCTGGTTCTGGCAGTTTTGGACGCCTCTGACCTGGCTGCTCCGACCTCCCGTGAATTCCTGGACACAGTCATGGCCCCACTCGTGAGCCAGGATCCCAGAGGGAGCAGTCAGCGTCTGCTGCTGGTGCTGAACAAATGTGACTTGCTGCCTGCCGAAGGTCCACATCCACAGCCCTGGTCGCACCCCCACCTGCTGTTGTCCTGCCTGACCCGGGAGGGGCTGGATGGCCTGCTGGGGGCTCTGAGGAAGGAGCTTGCTGTGGTGTGAGTCCCGTTCGCCTCTGCCTGTATCTATCTGCAACATGGGGTAAACTTGTCATCCACTTGCCATTTATTTACTGAGTATTAGGGTTCAGGCCAGTCATCCAGTTGCTTGGGCGAGGCTGGAACTTTGAAGAGCCTCCTGCCTCAGCCTCCACACAAGTGTAGGGATTGCAGGGCTGGAGAGATGGCTCAGTGGTCTAAAGCACCTACTTAGAACAAGCTTGGCAAGGCATCAGGGACCGCGGTTCAATCCCCCAGCACCACAT